ACGGAGCACGCCGGGTTCTCACCGGACCAGGCTCTCACATCACCAAGCGCGAAGCGCCGTGAGATATTCGGCGACTCGCATGAAGGGTGCGGTGCATCCTGCTACGGGTTCTCGGTATCTTGTGCTTACTCCATTGCATATGGATGACAGCTGCGTATGGCTTAGTTTATTTTCTGGTGCTTCACTTCCAGAGACAGTTGTATGCTCTGTGTAACTGCCTCGAGGGTGGTTGACCATTTTAACACAACGTGGTGCGATCATCCCCCTTGCGCGGAGCGAGGGTTTTCCACCCCGCACAACATGATCTACTCGACCACCATTATGGTTACCGCCGCAAAAAAAAAAACAGAGGAAAAAAAACCAGGTAACCTGGTTGCCGAGTTCACGAAGTGAGTTGGCTTGTTTTACAACGTCGTTGCCAAGCGACGAAAACCCAACCCCGATGGCAAACACCGGGGGGGAGGGGGGGGGGACGGGGCAGAAAACACGTGAGACGCAACTTGTGACCTCCAAGCAACGCGCATGACACTGCAAAAGATGCAGAACAAAGCATGTCCATCTGCAAGGAAACACTCCGAAACAACAACATACGGCTGGCTCACAACAAGCAGTGAGACGACCATTTTTCTGCTAAAGTGCCCTGTGAACGACCGAAACCTACTCGGCAAAAACAACTAAGAGGACACCCACGACCTCAAGCAGATACTGAAAGTAAATGTGAACTCTCCATCGACACTGTAACTGCATATCAAGCAATGCATCCGATGTGGTCGGTTTGCTGTGTATCGTAGTCACGACGGTTTTCGTAGTTTGAGTCCCGGTTGACGCGTTCTTCCTCTCACCCTTTGATGACCCCGGGCAGCGAGCTGGGCACAGTGACGTCCGCCGTCTCGATCGTAATTCCCTTGGTTGTCGTAAAGGCTAACGGCTCCCCTTCTTTGTTGGTCAAGCTCCTCGCCACCGCCCTCACCCCTGCATACACCAATTGTACACATCAACACCAACGATACGGCAATCAAAATTCCGCATGTTCGTAATGGCGGCGGGTTTGGGTCGACAGCACTTCCGCCATGTAGGACTGCATCCTGTTTTCCGTATCACACAACCTCCTCAACAAGATAACAGCTACGGATGCTCACCGACGAACCCCAACTTGCACAACGTTTATCACAAGAAGAGCAACTGCTGTATCTGCGGAACCGCACAGAAAATTGAGCACACCTGTATACCGTACGTTGCATGAGATATCACACCCCCTGGACCGATTTTCAAAGCTCGAATACTCGGCAGGGAAAACATCAGTGAAGGTGCCCCCAATAAGGCGGCGTTGGAACCGTATTCTCAAGAGTTTTCCGAAAATCTCTCACGTAATTTCGGGATCCTCTTCGTCGTGGAATAAATGAGGTTTGAACGTTGGTTCATCAGGGAGTGCTGTACTTCATACAACCTACGGTCGGAGTGCTGCATCGCTCGCACTGAGATTCGTAGCACAATATTAGCAAAATGTGCGACTCGCCTGTCCCTTTCGAGGCGAGGTACTCCACGCACTCCCGTCCGGTCTTCCCACCAGCTCCCAGCACGGTCACATCTGACAGGCAGGCGTTGAAGACTAACACATACAGTACACATTTGGTCGTTGAAGTGACGGGAGACAAACTAGCGAACGCTTCAAAGGCCACCACAGAAACTCATCGGCAATCTGTTAATGTCCGGGGCATGGAGACGGGGGAAACGTGGGACCACCGAAGGTAGCAAGGTCGACCCCGATCGGCTAGCACCCATTTCCTCAAGCCAACAGCATTCATATCTACAACTTCGATCCTGCTGTGTGCCGACGAAAGGGCTCAAACTCCGTTTGGCTTGCCTGCCTGGGCGGGCTGACTTTGAAGTTTACAGAGAGGGTCGAGGAGAAACTAGCAAACAGGCAACGATGTGCATGTCCCGTCAAGATATGGTTTGTTGATACTGTAGTTCTACCCGTTCATCTTTGGATGGACTGCAAACAGAAAGATGTTGGGCAACAGGCCTTTGGTTACGTACTGCCTTAGCACCCGTTTTCGATGCTGGCGGTATCACTTGTGTAGACTACATGTGCACGGACGGCGATGTTGGTGCGTACCTGATGATGTTGCTGCCGACGCGTCTTCCTTGCCGAGGGCAAACACCGGCGCCATTGCTGCAAGGCTGGCACCGACTCGCAGCCATTCTCCGCGTGACATCGACGCGGGAGTGCCAGCAGTATCGTCATCGCCACCGGGGGAAGGAGTCGCTCGCATCGTTGTGATGCTGCTGCCACTGCGCCTGCCCGTTACGGTAGCTCTGTGTCGATGCGTCACATCTGACCGTGCTGCCGTTGGGCCGATGACCCAAGATGACGACGGCTTGATGGAAGAACCCGCCGCCAAGATCAGGCCGAGAAGCCACTGACGCCCACATGCAGACATCATTTCTCCCAATCAATCTCCGCTGTGTATCCCTTTCTCACGCGTGTGCGGGCCTCTTCCCCTTGCCGCTGTGCGCTTTGGGAGGGGGGATCATGACGACCATCCCCCCGCATGTTTTCTGTGGAACACCCTGCCTCGATTTTTTTCAAATCTGTTCGACGGCACATCGACCACACCGACCGTCAGCGAGCAGCAGTGCACAGCACACAGCAGCTTTATCTTCTTGCGAGGACACTGGTCTGCTGGCTTCTTTGGTTAATTGATCTCTCTTGCAGCTCCGGAAGCCGCTACTTTTGGACTCAGCTTTTCCCCTTAGCTGAAGGAAAACGCGCCTGCTGCTAGGTCAGTGCGGGTGATCCAGAGAGCTCTAGGCGCGCGCTCCCACATCCAAATTTGTGTTCCGTGCGGTCGGCGTGTGTGTGGAGAATGGTCATCGCGGTGAAAGCACAGGGCGGACGCAAGAGTCTTGGCAAGACCAAGCCTGAGGTAAGCTGGTTCCTGCCTGGATTCGGCTTCCTGATCCCAAGAAAACGAACGTCCTCCGGAGAGAGGGAACTCGCATGGAGTTCGTCTTTTCAAATCCTTTTTTGAAAGAATAGACTACATACATTACCTCACAAGACAGACCACCCTTGTTGCTGCGTGCGACCCCGGTCCACCGGCCCACGCCTCTCTCCCTCGTGACGCCTACAGCAGTAAACCAGTTGTCGTAGGTGTGCACACGGTAGAGCCCCTGCCATAGAGCCTTGCGCCGCCGTCTTAGTCAATCCGCGAAGAAACTTGACACAACGCGTTAGTCTATAGGTGAAAGCGAGGGCTGGCTCCAGCACGTGAAATCTTTTTGGCGGCAGAGGAACAGCGAATCGCTCTGCAGGCGTCGACGACAATCCAACCATCAATCCGCAAAAAGACAAAAAGAACCTCATGATTGAGCTCGGCGTGTCGTGGCCACCCTCCAAGAGACAGAGAGCCAGATCATGTGCAGAGTATTGTGTGGCCTGTTTCGCATCGTCGTCATTGCTGTGTGGCCTCCATACTTTGAGTTTGCGGGGGTCATCTTGCTCGTCACGGCAGCGAGCCTACAAGTCTGACGTGTCCATCATCCACACCACGCATGTACCGTTAAGCAGTACATCGACCAAAGGCAAACTCGGTGTCATGTACCCAATACAGCGGTAATGTTACACTTGAGGGCGCGCAAGAGAGAGCCTTGGCTAGCTTGCGGTTCCTTTCTATCGTCAAAGAGCGTGCGTATGTACGCAACAGCAGCACGAAATAGCGGCCCCGTAACAGCCGCGAATTCGTCGCTCCCCCTTCGCTCTCTTCTCTCGCGCTTTGATTTGTCGGCACTGCTCTGACTCTCTACCAGCAGTATCGAGGTCAATCCACCAGCAGTAACACGCACCCACTGCTGCGTCTTCATGGACCAGTGATTGGACTGCACAGCTGCTCAGCGGTGTGCTGACGCACATGCATACGGCTGCTGTGTTTTCTACTTCAATCGTAGTATGAAGACGCCGCTCGGTTGGCAACAACAGAGTATTATTTAGTCGTTTGGCGACATTTTTTTTTTTCTGTTGTCCTGAATGGCGAATGGCCTTCTCTCACGCATCGCGGAAATGTTAATTTCTTTCTCGTTTCGTTCGCCCTTCCACCACTACACGAACCGTACAATACAATCTGAATTAATCAAACGTGACCGGCATAAACACGAAAATGACCTGCGTGCTTTGCCTCCCCCGCTCCAAGTACGTGTTGCCGTGCGAATCGATCAAACTAGTACGAAGTCGGCGGCTTTCGGCAACCTCGCATCTGATGGTCCGCCGCGCTCCGAGCTCCCAGGGAGGCAGAGACCAAAATTCTCGATGCCCCTTCACGAAATCAGCTTCTGCAGCAGTATTGTAGTTTCCCGTATGCACATAAGCGGCGATACATTTCTTTAGGGAAGAAGAGCGCACCGGTAGCATGTTCACCCCGATCATGTCGCTGGGAGCTAAGCTACTCGATGAAACTTGACACATGGTTTCAGCAGTGTCAAGAGGAAGGCTGAAGCGTTACGTTTCATTAGGGGCGAATAGGCTCGTGTCGGTCCATTCACTCCTTTTTGTTGTTGCCGGTGTAAGTAACGCGCATGAATCTTCGTGTTGTCTTTCACGTATGTTTGGATCGTGGTGCAGACTTACCCGCGTGGTTGCACACGCCCCCCAAGGCAAAGTCTGCATCTTCGCTCAAGCTTACAAACTGCGGCCGAACCTGTGTCGGTTCATTCACTTTCTGCGTTTTTGTTCATCTGACGCGCACGAACCTTAATAACCTTTCACTTGTTTGGATCATGGTGCAGGGTGCCCCCAAGGCAAAGTCTGCGTCACCCCAGACGGTGTCGGAGTTGGCCCAGGCCGCGGACGTGATGGAGGGGAAGAGGCTCGAAGATGCGCAAAAGGAAGCGGAAAAGGTGGGAATGAAACAGCTAGTTTTATCACCCCCCAAAAAAATATCGAGCAGCAGTGCTCCGTCCTCTCGAGGACGCGTGGTCAATGGCCAAATCCCTAAGGCATGAAAATTATGCAACAAATTTATTTCTTGTCCATTTGTTAAGAGCACGGAATATGACGTTAGCATGCGCCCTAGCATTCTCACAAGTGCGTACCACCCCCCGCGCGAGCTCGCCTCTGTCAAATGGTGATGGTCTAACGACTACGGCATGCGTTAAAATGAGTTCATCCCCCCGCCTCCCGGCCTCTCCCGGTCACTCTTGCAGGAGTGGCAAGAGCTCGAGGCGGCCAACACCGAGGTCGAGGAGGGGGGGGGCGGTTGTGGCGACGGCGGGGAGGGAGAGAACAAGGTGCCCGCGCTGCTGCAGATGGCCGCCAACCAAGTCCAGCAGGACGAGACGCTGACAGAGGTGAGAGAGACACAGCCCGTGCGCCCCTTCTGCGGCGCAATCATGCGGGAGATTGACTGACGAGGTAAGGGAAAAGCTTTGTTCTTGTTAGGGTGCGTCAGCAGAAGCGCCGCCAATCGAAAGATTCGACGGGCGAAGCAAGGGAAATCTCTGTTTTGTTGGGGTGCGTCAGCAGAAGAAGAAAACCGTCAGCCAAGAACGAAGGCAGGTTCAGTCACTCGCTTCGTTGTGATCGGCTGGTGCAAACGAGTGCACGTGTATGGTGGCCAAGGGATATCTTCCACGGTGACGCTGCTGTTGGTGCGGGGGTACCGTTGGTTTGGTAGCGACGCCCCCTGATCGAGCTTACGAAGCCCGATTACTCCGAGGGTGCCGAAAACCAAATTATCCCATGAAAATGCTCTTGCCGACCACCCCGCCATGTACATTGTTGTTGTCCCTTTTTGTTGTTGTTCATCACAGGAAGAACGCCGCAAGCAGGCGGGAATGCTCCTCGCCCGCGCCGACAGCGTAACCGACCAGGACAGCAACGCCTCCGCGAAACAGTCAAACACCGCCACCGCCACCAATGGCAAGAGTGACAGCGAGGAAAGGAGTTCCGCTGCCGAAAAGGAGGCGTCGTCTCCGGCGGGGAGAGGCCCCGCGGCGGAGAATGGCGAGAATTCGGGGGGGGGTGCGAGGCAGGCGCAGCTAGCGTCGCTCCTGTGCAAGGCGGAGCAGTACTCGATGTTCATTCGACAGTCGCAGGTGAGGTCGTCTGCAGCAGCAGTCACCTCAGGGGGCACATCGATCATTGCGTGTTGCACACGTTTGTGTTGAGTGTGTTTGCTGGGGATCTGTGATTAGTACCGGTGTTTTGCACGCCGAAGAGGCAGGAAGTATCTTCACCTACCACTTTGGTTTTTCGGTTTTCCACTAGTCAGAAGGACGTGCTATTTTGCTCTCCGGCCAACCGTATTTTGTTTTTTGTGTTTGCTTCCTGTACCTGTTTCGGTCCGCCTCACGCCTGAGCCGTCTCGGGCAAGGCTTGTTAATTTTTTTTGCTTGGGATCTGCGAGTATCGAAGGTGGTGCAGCTGCTTTTGGCCTCTTTTGCCTCTTTTTGCGTGGAAACCCACTGCCTGCCACTTCGAAGTGCTTCGTTTTTCCGGAAGAATGAAGGGTTTTTTGCTTCTTCGCCGGACAGCCTTTTTTTTTTGAAAAGAATAGACCATATCAAAGCAACACTACCCGTTGTACATGTCACCACACCAGAAGTCGAAGCGGATGGGTTGAAGTCTTTAACCTTTGCAGTGAGTCCGAGGAAACCGGCTGGATTGTAGGCTGCTTTTGAGGCTACTCTTCCTGCGCCTGGTTTGGTCGTCCGCACGCCTGTGCCGTCTCGCTCAAGGCTTTTTTGCAGTTATTGAAGTAGCATGTGGCAAGATCCGTGTGTCAATGGTGCTCTCTAAACTTGCCATGGTTCTCGGAACCCTTTTCTGGATTGTTTCTTTCTACGCTTTCAATGTGTCCGCATGAATCCCACTTCCCACTGTACCTGCCATCCCCGATGTTGACTCGTTTTTGCACCGTGAGGACTCAACGATTTGGACGACGTTGAATATTGGCAAGGAAACGACCACGGCGCAAGAAAATACCTGCTCGGATTTTTGAATATGTCTGCATGCACTCTGACTCGTCCTGTTTGCCTGTCATCCACAGGCACTGCTCAGGATAAAAAACAATGTACTTCTATGTATCAAGAACATGACGCAATGTGTTTTTCTCTTTGGTTGGTGTCCGGATGGACGTAGGCGGAGTCGATGAATCGCACCGAAGACCGTGCCACACGAAATAACTTGAATTTTTTTTTGCTTTTTCGCTCTGCTTTTGGTGTGCAGATGGACGTAGAGGCGAGTCGACCAATCGCACCCACGAAGCAGGAAGACGAGAGGGGGGAAAAGGATGACGCTGCTGCCGAGCAGGAAGGCGAGGACGAGGGAGCCGGTAGTGGGAGAGGGCGCGGCGGCAATAAGAGATCTCCTGGGAAGCGTTCGCCATCCTCTCGGTATGTGTGTCTTTATCGTCCTGTCCTGTCCTGTCCTCGGCTGATGCTGCTGCGTTGGGGGTTACAGTCGGGGGCCCTCTAATAGTACGGGTGCCCGGTATTTTCCGGGTGAAAGTGGTTGGCACAGATGGAACGATCAAGATGTGTAATACATGGAACAGTGTGGGTGCAACCTAGAGTGCGGTGTTGTTGTTGTCGTCGGTGGTGGTGATGATGAAGTGAGTTTTCATGTTGGCGGTGATGCTGGTGATGCTGGTGATGCTGGTGATGCTGGTGATGCCGGCGGTGCTGGTGGCGCGACTGAGGTGCATTTTCATGTTTTCGTTCTTGGCTTCATGATGGTGGTGTCCTGGCCTCGCACGGAATAGAGCTCTTTGTTTTTTCTGCCGAGTACCCTTCGCTCCATGACGATTGCTGATGCTTCTGGCTGTCAATGCTGTTGTTGGTGAAGTTGTCGCTCGTGACGCCGTTCCCAAAGGGTACTGCTGCATGTCCGTATAAATTTAGTCCCCGCTACCTCCCTTACGCAGCTGTTTTTGCCCCCGCCCCCCCCGCAAGGCATCACCGCCTCCCCCGATGTCATTGCTTTGGCGTATCAGCCGGGGTCACAATGTATGTACTCACGTATTTCATCATTGTATAGCAAGGTGACCACGCTGTTTATTGTTTGGGCACGTGGTTGTTTGTTGTGTTGGGTGTGTGTCCATGCACACGTACCATCGTGTATCGCAAAAGTTGACCACCTTCTTCTTGTTTTGAGCACCTTGGCTGGTGGTTGTGTTGGTATTTAAACGTGCACGCGTTTCTAGTAATCGTGTAGCGCAAGTTGACCATGTGTTGGCATGCATCCTGGCACACGTTTCTATCGTGCGACGCAAGTTGACCACCCTGTTTCGTGTTGGGCACATCGGCGTCTCTGTCTATTGTTGATTGTGTGGGGGTGTAGGGGTAAGAAGGGCAAGTCGTCCAGCGGAAGAGCCTTCAGTTCAGCGGCCACCAAGATGAAGAAGGCAAAGGAAGAGGCCGCTGCTAGGGAGAAGGACGACGGCTCATTCCGACAGGTGTGGGGTGGTTGTTGTTAACAGTGTTTCGCGTTTGGTTTGGAGATTCAGCGTTGTCTCCGTCATGAATCACCGCCGGGACCGTGGGGGGGGGGTGTACTCATAGACGTGCATGCCGTAGTCGTTAGACCATTGACCTCGCATCCCTACAAAGCCGGGACGGAGCACGCCGGGTTCTCACCGGACCAGGCTCTCACATCACCAAGCGCGAAGCGCCGTGAGATATTCGGCGAGTCGCATGAAGGGTGCGCTGCATCCTGCTAAGGGTGTTCGGCATCTTGTGCTTACTTCCTTGCGTACGGATGACAGCTGCGAATGACTTAATTTAATTTCTGGTGCTTTCACTTCCAGAGACAGTTGTAAGCACTGTGCGGTTGCCTCGAGGGTGGTTGACCAATTTGACACAACCTGGTGCATTCATCCGCCTTGCGCGGAGTGAGGCTTCTCCACCCCGCACAACATGATCTACTCGACCACCATTATGGTTACCGCCAAAAAAAAAACAGAGGTAAAAAAAACGGTAACCTGGTTGCCGAGCTCACGAAGTGACCTGGCTTGTTTTACAACGTCCTTGCCAAGCGACGAAAACCCAACCCCGATGGCAAACACCGGGGTGGGCGCCTTGTTTTACAACGTCGTTGCCAAGCGACGAAAACCCAGCCCCGATGGTAAACACCGGGCCGGAGGGAAGGGGAGAAAATGGTGGTTGTGATTGCGGTGGTGCTGCCGCTGCTGTCGACGACTGACTCGGTGTTGTACGCATCATTCTACACCATACTCCATGCGTGTTGTACAGCCTTCGAACCTGGTGGGAGGGACCCTGAAGCCGTACCAACTGGAAGGGTTGCGGTGGCTGGTCACTCTCTACGAGAACGGGCTGAGCGGGATCTTGGCGGACGAGATGGGGCTCGGCAAGACCATCCAGGCGAGTTGCTGCGACGCGATGTCCAGTCCGTCCCATTCCATTCCATTCCGAGTCGGATTGGGTGTGGCGGGAGGTATCCTGCGTTCCGCGGCGAGGTAGTTCATCCCGTTCCATTACATTGCGCGTCGGATTATTTGTGGCGGTTGGGATCCTGCGTTCCGCGGTGCGGTACGTCCGGCAGCGAAGAAGTCCATTGCGTTCCATTCCATTCCGCGTCGGATTAGTTGTGGCGGTAGGTATCCTGCGTTCCGCGGCGCGGTACTTCTGTTTCCACTGCCGCCTTGGCCGATTGGACTCGGGTTATCGTTAGGTTCTGTGATTTTTATGTACAGCATTTGTGTGCTCAATATGGGGCGGGTATGTGCCAGGCCGGTTCCCCCTCCCTATTCCAGGCATGGGAAACCATTTGACTGTTGATTCATGCCACGAGATTTCGCCCGTCCTATGCTGGCCACCTGCCCTGGGGTACAGAGGGCCCACTGCTGCTGTATCGCTAGATTTGAAGCAGCAAAACTTGTGCGTTTTTCGCGCGTTGTCTCCTTTCTGCGAGGGCACCGCCTTTGCCTGTAGCTGCTGCCGCCCCCCCCCCTTTGCACCGATCTGCTTGACCTTGGCGGCCTTGACACACCTTTCGGCAGGATGCTCTCGTGCCTCCCGTTTTTCGCGCCTCCCTTCTATTGCGGCCGATTTTTTAGTGTCTCGTTCCTTTGTAGTGCGCACAACCAACGAATCATCGCGCCTGACGTCGCCTCCCCCGAACACATGTACAATCTGCGGCGCCTGTGCTACGTATCAACAGGTGATAGCCTTGATCGCCCACCTTCGCTCGAAAGGCGTTAATGGGCCGTTCCTCGTAACGGCACCTCTCGCCACCCTCCCGAACTGGGTCAAGGAGTTCCAGAAGTGGCTTCCCGCTGTCGACGTGATCTTGTACCACGGCTCTAAGGACCACAGGTAGGTGTGTTCCGCGGCATGTACATACAGCGATGATGTCTGCACGGAAACGTGCATAACACGTGTGTGTGTGTGTGTGTGTGTGTGTGTTTTGTTAATTACATCGACCGCGCTATGTAGCCGGCTGACCAATGAAGAGCCGTCCGTGTGTATGTGTGTGTGTGTTTTTTTTTTGTTTTCGTTATGTTTCCCGGTCGTAGCGATCTACTCCTTGCACGCAGTTGGTTTTCTCGCTCTTTTACTCCGTTCTCACCTTTTTGCCGTAGCATCCGCCATGAGAACGGCTGTTGGTGTCTCCTCATCCGGGTTCTGCACGTGTACCCAGAGGGGCATGGCCAACGATGGACCCTTTTCATACGTGTGTGATGTCGATGACCACCCATGACCGGTTATCAGGCTTAGACCGTATGTCGTCGAAGCACCGAGAGAAGTGGTACGTTGAGGCGATTGAACTGGTCTCTTGTCGTTGCGGTTTGCTGCTACAGCGGTGCCAAAGCCCTCGGCTGGTGCTGTCAGCGAAATGTGAAAGAACTGTAAGTCCAGAGTTCATGGACGTCTAAGGAACATGTGGCGACACGCAAACTTAGAGCAGTGACGTATTTTTTTAACGGAATTCTCGATTATTTTCGTTTTGTATTGTTGCTATGCAATTTTTGCCGGGTCTCTTCTTTTCGTTTGTGACAGGAGTGAACTGCGGCGAACGGTGATGAAGCCGAGGTTGGCGAGATCGTCGTGCTTTCCCGTCGTCGTCACCAGCTACGAGGTAAGGGTAAGGGTAAGGGTAAGGACAACCAAGGGAGAGTTATGAATGGTAGAATACAAGTACAGTCGTGGCTTCGTTACAAGCGGGTGGCGTTACAATGGCCCTCGATCGAAGAAAGCATGGTGTGTTTGGATTACAGTACCCCTACGAGAGGCCGTCTTCTCGTCTTGCAAGCAAGGAAAAGGCTCCTAACAAAGGGAACGGCAGGTAACGCGGAGATGAGAGCGTTTGAGGAGGAACCGCCTCCCACAACGTCCGTTGAGAGCGATTGAGCGACTCCCCCTTTTCACAATGCCGAAATTCCCCCTCCCAAGGATGGCGACTAGCTTCTGGTTTCTGAAACGTAGCCTAGGCCGGCGAAAACCCGGCCTATCGCTCCGTCGCGGCAGCATGTTACAGACGCGTTGTCAATGGCCTAACAACTAAGGCATGCAAAACCGGAAGAGTATGCCCCCCCGCCCTCCCCCCCCTCCGTCCTCTCGAGGACGCGTGGACATGTGGTCTATGGCTGACTCTTGAGGGCAACGAGAATCGAGAGGTCTGCCATTGGGGAGATTTCGTGGACGAATGTGAAAAACCCGTCGGGCCAAATTCTCGCGACCAGGGCATGCAAACCATGCGTACCCCCCGCCTCCGCCCTCTCGAGGGCGCGTGGTCAATGATCTAGCTAAGTCGTGCAAATCATGGGCACACCCTTCCATGGTTCCATTGTTTTGCGTTCCTCCTTGGCAAGGTGAGCATCATCGACCGGGCGGCGTTGCAGGGTTACTGCTGGCAGTACCTCATCATCGACGAGGGCCAGAGGATCAAGAACGCTAGCTGCCGCCTGGTGCAGGAGCTCAAGAAGCTCCCTTCGGAGAACCGTCTCCTTCTCTCCGGAACCCCTATCCAGAACACCCTCGAGGAGCTGTGGTCCCTGCTGAATTTCGTCAACCCTCACATCTTCGACGACCTCTCGGTGAGAAGGAAAGCACGGGGATTTTTTTCTCCTTGCGGTAGGGAGAGGACGACGTTTCTCCTCCCTTTGGTTGTGGTTTCGTCTATTTTGATGCAAGTGCAACGCTTCACGAAGACCTTATATTGTTTAGTGTTGGTCTATCTGTTCTCTCAAGCTTTTGTAGTGGTTTACGAGGTCGACAACAAACATGAAACGCGCAATTCCGTCATCATGACGATTTTACCTGTATGTGGGTCCATTGATCACCATATCCTCCTATTGAAATCCGTGTTGTTTGTGCCCTGCTGGCCTTACTTCTTGTCCTTGTTTTCCCTATGAAGAACAACCCCCGCACACAACTCCTCGTGTTTTTGTGTGCTGCTGTCAACCCCTTCCTTTGGATAAGGTTTTAATTTGTTTCCTAAAAAAAGTTACCGCCCACACCCCCGCACACACTGCTGCCTATCGTAGATCTTCCGATCTTGGTTCGGTTTCAAGAACATCGGGAAGGAGACCAGCGTGGAGTCTATCGTCGATGAGCAGCAGCACTCCAAGATCGTCTCCAAGGTAGATCGGAGTTCCATCATTTCCTCTACTGTAGTAAAACTAGAGCACGGAGCACGACGCTTTGCTAAGCCCTACCGTTACTTGGAAGAAAACTGCGTCGTTTTGCTACTACTTCGTAAGGAGAGTGTCCGAGAAAAGTGTCTCGCGCTTTGCATGCTGTGCAAAACTTGCTTTTTTGTTTGTGTGAATACGCGGCGCTGTTGCTGAGCCCTGATTTGTGCCGCATGCGTTGCCTCTACCGTCGCCGCAGTACAACAGTTAGGGTGCAGTTCCACGACTAGTCTCCTCGCTGATGCTTGCAAGTACAGTCGACACTAAGTCTATCTCATCAAGTACATATCTATGAAACCTTGACCTTGCACGTGTAGGCATGACCCCCCTCACCCCACGGGTATGACCTCATGCGAAACGTGCTGTTTTGCGCCGCACTGAGAATGGTACATTTTCATTGGTGAGTCGGTTAGCGCGGTCGACGCTCATGAATACAGGCACAAACACTGCAAGACTGACGTCTTTTCACTGGTCAGCCGGCTAGCGCGGTCGATGTTTTTTTTTTTTTTTTTGAGACACGCACGCTGCCACTCGTCACACACGCGCGCGCGGCTCTCGGTATTTTGGGTTTGGGTTTTGCAGCTGCACGAGATCCTCAGACCGTTCCTGATCCGGCGTATCAAGAAGGACGTTCTGGCCAACGACGGCCTGCCGCCCAAGAGGGAGGTGGTGGTGTACGCGGGCATGACGTCATGGCAGAGGGGCTACTACGACCTCGTCGGGAGGAACGCGCTGCGGCAGGCGCTGGTGCGTTTCCCCGCCTTGTTGATGGTTGGTGTATGAAATCTCTTGAAGCAAGAGTTGCAGAGTGCAGCTGTGTCGTTTACTATTTGAGCTGTTGATTTGAGTCTTGCATGGCTCGGCCGTGCTACAAGGTGGACTGCGTGTCGTCTCTCACTCACGCGTGCCTTCGTTCACGGCACATGAAACAAACAACCTGTTCAATTGAGCCCCTTTGGTGGACACCATGTAGTCCAGGGATGTTCATCAAGAACGATACGTACGAAGTATCATCTTGGTTAGATCATGGTATCATTGCCCCCGACAAATACCTGGTAAGCAGTAAGTAATACTGCAGCTTGCACAAACCCTGAACCGATTGTTCGAAGCTCGATTTCTCTACAGCACAAGCAGTGGCGGTGCTGGAAATGTCGGCGTTGGAACCCCCTCGTCGATAGCTTTCCGAACATTTGGGTACAGCATCGCCTTCGTCGTGGAATGGTTAATTCTCGCGATAAAAATATCGCAGGCAGGAACTGCAGGAGGGGGTCCAACCCCCCCCCTCCTGTGTGACCCCGGTTGGGTCGTCTAGCTGGTAGAAGTGGAGGATAGGGGCCAGAGGGGCAGACGACAGAGTCCAATAAGGGGAGCCAAAAAATAAAAAAAAAGTTAAGCTTTGAGAAAACTACTGCGCAACCCATGGTGTGCATCACGATCACACCTCCCCCGAACTTATCCACCACCCCTTACTTCTACTCCACCGTCTCCCCGTTTGGCGACGCCTCCCCGCAGTGGGTGTGCTATCTTAGGTAAGTGCATAAGCGCATCACATTCATACCACCCAATGACTTGTACTCCACCGTTCCCCCCTTCGGCGACGCCTCCTCGCACGGGATGTGCTATCTTACGTAATTGCATCGCATTCACACACCCCCCTGACCTCTACCCCACCGTCGCCCCTCTTCGGCGACGCCATCTCTCCCCGAAAGATGGACATGGGCATCGAGGGTGCGGCGCGACTGAGCGAGATCAACATCAATATGAATCAGCGCAAGGTCTGCCAGCACCCCTTCCTTTTCGGCGAGCCAAAGGACAAAATGACGGGGGAGTACGTCGGCATCAAGAACCCCGAGGTGTGTGTGGCGCCAGAGAGACTCTGTGCCTCGTCTACGGAGAGGAAACCCCAGGCCTCGAGATTAAAGGTTATGTTCGACTTACCTGTAGGAGTCATGCAGCAGTGCGTCATAAGCGTGTGCCAAAATGAATCAGCGTCGTGAAGGGTAGTTGATAGTGTTACAGTGCTACTTGCTGGTTGTTTCAGCTGATTTGGCGAATAGGCTACTTGCTCTGACGATGGAATTGCAGCGGCCGGCTGCCCGAGGTGTGCGTGGGACCGGAGAACGTGCATCCACGACTCGGTTGCGGAATGGAAACCCAGCTGACAATGCCTCGTGCTGGCGCTGCTATGGCAGCTTCTTGACTGCAGCTGCTAGTGCCTCGTGCTCGTGGTACTTGAATATTTTTGCTGCAGCTGCTTTTATGTATACACTTTGCCCTGGAGATGGAGATGTAGCGGCTGGCTGCTGGCTGGCACCTGACTTGCCCTCAGGTTGACAAGGGCAGGCCTGTTCAAGGCGTAGACTAGGGCGTAGATAGACCCCGATCTCGATGTGTTGAGAGTAGGAGTTGTTCCGAGTCGATTGGTTTGTTGTGCATGGTGACAAGAAACAGAACCCGCCAGCGCCCGCGATATCTTGGTGGAAACAAGCAAGTTGGGGGGTGAATTTCGCGAATTTTGAAGAACTCGAACCCCACCCGTAACAAAACCTACCAGGTGCATGCACATTTGTTCCTGGTTGGCTCCCCCACTGATCTACAGCGCAATGGTTGCGCAAAATATGAATTTCTCTCAGCAGCGGCGGCGGCGCACGTTGCGTGATTGCCTCTCGTCAACCGATGCCACACCGTTTTGTGTCAGATTCTGGTGAGAGCGTCCGGCAAGGTTGCGTTGATGGACCGCATGCTCAAGAAGCTCCACGCGGGAGGGCACAAGGTGCTCATCTTCTCGCAGATGACGTCGCTCCTCGATGTCCTCGAGGACTACCTACGGCACCGGTGAGTTTTCCGTGTTGTTGGAAAGCGGTCCTAGTGTTGATGGTGCGGTTGGTTTGGTGATGATTTGTTGCTGCAGATAATGTTTGTACACTTTCATTCGTCTTGTCGGTGACCTCTCTGGTATCTGCTCTTGTTTTTTGTTAGCCTTACCCCCCTTTTTAACCTCTCTGGTTTGCACAGCGAAGCAATGATGATGACCAGCTTCTGGCTCATCCTTGTGAAACGTAGCCTGGGCCGGCGAAAACCCGGCGTATCGCTCCGTGCCGGCATTTTAGGGTTGCGGGGTCAACGGTCTGACGACTACACGTGTTTGCCTGAGTATCCCCGGTCAATGGGGTAACCGCTAAGTAAGGCATGCAAAATATGAGCACGTCCCCAAGCTCGCTTGCACCACTCCAACGCCCTATGTTTACTGCAGAGGGCGGGAGTTCCACGGTATCGACGGTTTGACGGACGGCCTGGACAGACCCCCCCCCCCCCC